TTCTCTCCGTGTACTCCTTCCCGAAAAACCCCACCCGTTCGGATTGCAATGGAGAAATAATTCCCACTTTTTCGAGCGTTACATCGTCCAGTCGCCAACAAACACGCGTATCGCAATTTGGTGCACAAAAGCAAAATAAATAATTCATATCCACAATTTCTGTATATTTTAAAATTTCCGTGGGCACAGGGGGTGCAAGCCGCGTTCTAGTTCAGGGCTTTTTCAAGATTTCTGTGGGGAAATCGTCATAAGGACACATGTGTCACGCACCGGGGCTCTTTCAACATTTATAATCAAATCACTTCCGGTTGGGACTGTCACGGGAAATGTGTGTATTTGGAATTTAGAATAATAATTGGGAATTCTTTGGAGGGGTGAAGGACCCTCGGATTTTTGTGCACATGTTGCTTGATTAATTCAAGAATAAACAAATGAGCTTGTGGCTTCTGGTTGAGTTTGATTAACGGAAAAATGATGCTTCCGGTGCACATGCTTGACGATCATGGGAAAATGCCGGGTATTTGGGAACTAAGTCATTAATTAGGTTTCCAGAAAGTCAAGCTGATCGTCAATCACATGCCATTTGTCAATTAGAAAAAAAAAACTTTTTTCTGCATTTGAAATTTTTGTATTGATTTAGATTCAACTATTTTTATTATATTTTCATTTCTTTAATTAAACATTTCCTTGATTTTATACTTAATCATGCAATGCTAATAAATTGCGACACGTAAAATAGTATTCATCATTTTATATGATCATAGATATATATTATTTTAGATAATTTAAATGAGCAAATACCCTATTCATTTGCTTATTGATTCATTTAGTTGAGTGTTCGAGAATTAATAAAGAAATATTTATAATTATGATTTTTTTGTAAATCTAGTGACTTTCGACCAAACGAATCGTAAAATATCTTCCGCGAACAGTTATTTTTCCATTTAAATTTAATTAATAATTTTTATCCAACTTTTATACAATTCTCCTTGTAATAAATGCCTCGCGCTCATTGTCATTTTTTTCACTCGATGAAAAACAATCCTCCGAAAACTTCCACTTTGCTGCCAAAAAATTGATGAATTCCTGTTATTGTTTCCCCCGAGAGCGACCGCCGCGTCTAAATTTATGAAACTGTATCCAACTCATTTTTATTCTCCCCGAGTTCAGCCAAACTGTTATTTCACCTTGACGAGCAGTCCCCGCATTTTGATAAATGCGTCTGTGTTATTATTTACGTTGAGCCATGCTCGAGTAACATTGATGAATATCCAAAAACCCAGAGTTCATTTCGACTCGCGCAAGACTGATAAAAAATGTAATTAATCGTGCATATGGTTTGATGAACAATATTGTTCTTGTGACTCAGTGACGTGATGCTGGTATATTGAGGAATAAATTCTAAATGGGTAATACGATATCGATGATCCCTCGATCGTTTCGAGATGAGCATGCGATGAGCAGATGACACACTGAGAAATTTGATCACGATTGGAACTGGTGTCACGGGCTGCGTATGGTGGGCTCTCGTGTATCAAAAGGACAATAAAAAATGAGAATAACCGAAATTTCAGTGAAAAAAATTATCCACACGGCATGTGGATGGAATAATTCAATGCAATATTTAGAATTGTGGGGTTTTGATCATTTTGGTTGAGGGGAGATTACTGTGAGTTTTAATCGATCGATTATTTATTTCTACAAACGAGGGATTAGTGCAAAAAATTTACTGCTTATTGTTTGTTTGCCCCGCGGACGTTTAAAATATTAAAAACAGTCCAGGGCCTCCAAGTTTTAAGCTACAGCTGTAGCACACCCCTAGGTTTTGATAGTCGGGACTGCGTTAAAAAAAACTTTAATTTCAACTTCAGTAAAAATTACGTGAATTGTTCCGTAATTTTTACTAAATATAAGTTTTTCTTCAATTGTTCGTTGATGAATGACTGGAAGTGAATCTTTTTTTCGTGCTGTAATTGAAAAACCGTTGACAATTTTTCTCCACTTTTTTTCAACTACCCCTCCCTTCTTAATCAAAACGCGACTGCAATTTACGAATTTCGATGACTTACGCGATAACTCTAATCGAGCACTCGTGTCCACACAGCGATTGCGCCCCAAGAACCTAATAATCGACACAGTACGTATTACTTAACCCGCTGTGAAGCAAACGTTGACGGTATTGTGGCTAACCACTGGTCTGTGAATGAAAGGGGTGCGCGATGTTCTCTATTATGGATTCAAGCAGATGGTCGATCAACGAGTAATGACTCCCCAAATCGATCACTGAAAAATAAATCTGTTCGTTAGATCTCCGCTGAGATCTCTATCATTTCATTGTTCCCGGGTAACCGGTGGTATTTCTTCTACTATGAGTAACCAAAAACAGACCAAGTGTGCCCTCAACGCTCATGGATGAGCCCCCCTCTCCACCCGAAAAGTCGATTTTAATGATCTACCGAGTTGGCAACAGGAACATCTGCTCCGGTCAGAAACCCGAACCTTGGAAATATTGCACAAACGATGTGACATCAGAGGTGAATCATTTGTCGGGACAGGAAAAAATTTCGGCAAAAATACTGGACTTGATGAGAAAGCTAATGAGAATATGTATATGTATGCAGTCTACACTGAAAGAAAAACGACAAAGTTCTCAAACAAGTCTTACTTGTGCCAAGAAAATAGTTTTTGAAAATTATCAAAAAAGGATTTTTTCGTGCCAAACATGCTGAGTGCGGCGGAATGAAAATTTTTTTCGAGAGACTCCTAAAAATCATCGACATATTCATCGCAACTCCTTTCCCTCCGTCACGCGACAAAGATAAATCATTCCCCCAGAGGTCTTTCAGCAAAAATGTTGGCCAGCTAATGAGCATCCCCGCAAAGTTGGGTCATGTTCCCTGGAAAAGGTCAATTCCTCCCCTGAATGGTCAGCCAAACACCTCTCCTGTTGACTTCAGCTTTGACTTCTCAAAAAAAAAACATCAAACAGTGAAGATTACGGCCTAACGACGCACCCTAATGGCCCTGCCAATTCTCGGTTGGCTCACCAGCAGCTGTGAAGTCTCCTAGGTCTGCACCATTGTTCCCGGAATCCTTTCCTCGAAAAGCCATCGGACACGTGGGCACTATTCACCGGGAAGCCCCCGAGTGAACATCACATTCAACATATCACAATTACCCACGAGTGAATAAATCTTATCTGAAATGATAGTTTGGCGGGCTCTGAGGAGACACCAGTAAAAACCGCAAACAATGCTAATCTTTTTGCGGATGGATTACACAAGTGTTCATGTCATTACTGAGTTATGATGTGTGTGGCTTGACAAAAGCTCACGGGTGTTGGTGGGCTGGCCAATTCCACAAGGTCAAGGAGTGCACCTTCACAATTCAGAGAAGTGACAATGGGGGCATTAATGTGTCACTGTGTCATTCTTGATTGTCTTCGTGGTTACTTAGAATGTTGCGTCATTTTGGGTTAGGCGAATTGTGTCGTGTGTCGGGATTATTAGGGCGTGGATGATACACTGGTGGATGAGGTGAAACGATTTAGCTGCTGTTAAGGAATGGCCTTGATTGTTTAAAAGCCTAAATTATATAGAAGGAAAAATTGTCAATGTGTTCACTACATTTGAAAGTAGAAATTCAAATTACTGTCTAAAAAAAATCAACAAACGTTGCATATTTTTTTAAAATAGAGGAAATGATTTTTCAAAAATTGTAATGAATGAATATTCCTAACGGGACATCCACTTCAATGCGCCGAGCGTATATCGAACATAACGGTAACTCCTCCAATATATTTAATCAAAAAACAAAGCGCGAGAGACTCGTACCTTTTGTTTATGGAAAAAAAAATCATATATCCCGAAGTAGTAGTTATCCATTCATCCACGGAGATAATAGACGCCAGCTGGGGCTATCAATGAAATTGGCCACTCTGAGGGATGATTAAAAAGCTGGACAAACCGTGCGCCGATAAAATGCACGTCACGGTGTAAAGCTGTCCCACGGGTGCGTCTAACCACTTCCGATTTATAAACCCCAGCAAAGGTGCGCATGGAAAACAGTTATGTGGTTGAATTAAAGGTCCCTGTACTCTCATTAATACGGCATATAAACTATGTAATTATTCTGTTGTCGGGGAGACGATTAGTAAGACATGCTTGATCATTTTTTCGGTTATTATTTTTGTGTTCAGAAGGAGGAAAATTATCAAATTTCAAATTTCACAGATAATTTCCTCAATTGACTGTGTTCGGGGTCACGTGACACCTTCACATCAGTTTTATTAGATAGTCCTGTCTTCAATTGATTATTTATAATTATTCTTATTGCAAAAAGCAATACGACTAATGAGAATCAAATGCCCCAAAAAATCCCCCCCAAAAAATGCCCCGAAAAAATAATAAAAATCAAGTTCGCTCTAAAATTATTTGACTTGTCCGGTAATTTTTCTCTTATTTTTCTCCGTCAATTAACACCGATTTTTTCTCACTGTGTATTGATCGAACCTTTTTCGTTATTCCAATTTCGTGGAATTTTCATGCTGATATTTAACGGGAAAATATAATCATGATAATTACAATAACCGCCGACGCATGATATCGAAGGAACCTCAACTGCGGAATCCGCGCTGGGGTATCCGCGAATCGGAAAACGATGAGCGTTATCAGACTAAAATTTCAACCGGCAATTCATATTTTGGAGGTGGGAGGATATGATGTTGGGTATGATAGAGGTGAGGTCTTCAATAACGACTCGCTTCGCCCAGTAATTTTCAGTTTTTCTGCAACAGCCAAATCGTGCGGGTCCTCGGATAGTCGATTCACCTGTGTCAATAGTGCTCATTTTTTAATACCCCGTTCGCATGAAATTTTTATCGTGAAAGTAAGTGAAAGAGGATTATAAACTGATCAATTCGGAAACTATTTCTGCACGCGTCGAGTTCGGTTGTGTCATGAAGTGTTGATGACTAGATTTTATTTTATGATCGAGTAAATATGGGCAAGACGCGAGTGTTACTTGTCTTCTGTTTGGTTAATGCAATTCAAGGTACGTTAATGTTGCGGAAGGATTATAAGAAACTGAAAAAAAATAGGAAACGCTTATATTCAATGTGAAGAGAAAAGCTGAAGAACAATTATCTAGAAAATCTCGGCAAATGCTGCTAAAATTCTAGGGAATTCTCAATGGATTTTGATTTTTATTTGAATTATTCTCTTGAGATTTTTTCTATTAAAATTGTGAACGCAAATCTGCATTTCACCCGGATGCCCAACTCCCCCAGACGTACCCTCCAGCAACAAATCTAATCATCAGTTGGATCATCAATACCCCCAGTTATAAGAAAATTATGGAAGATGTTGATGAAAAAATATTGGCGCCAGTAAACGCAATTTACTCACGGCAGTAGGCATTAGAGCACAGGCTTTAATGCAAGGGTAAGCGTAACGAGGTTGAGGACAAGGCCGTGAGCAAGAATTTTCCTCGCTAATGGCCTTGACGCCAACCCTTGGCACAACGGTAATTAGGCCTGAAGTGAAGAAGCGTCTGGTGTGGTCCTGTTTGAAAAAAATTGGCGCTTCCGTTTCTCACTTTCTTATTCCGAGGCAGAAATACCGCGGATAATTGATTTCGTCTGAAGTAATTTTTCGGCTTCGGGAGGCGAATTGAATTGATTTCTGTTGTTGAATCAACTTTTGTGATTACCATTTCCATTTTTGATTAACATTGACTGTTTTGATGATAACAATCCTTTGTTCACACGTTTCTTTCTCAATTTATTACAGTGAATCAAGTGCTGTGTGAAGGAGCAAAGACTACGACCAAATCATCGAGTAATGATACTGGATCGGAGTCATTGCCGGTTCCTACGAGCTCCAAAAGCTCTGTTACAACTACTGTACTTCCTCGGAGTCATACAGTAACGAAAGACGATCATAATGTAACAGTTAAAGATGTTGGAAGCCATGAACCTACACCTGCAATCAACAGCACGACTCCAACAACTCCTGTAGGATTGAAGACGTCTCCATTGAGTTCGAGTGGGACGTCCGGTCTTTCTGCGAATTCAACATCGGGGTTAAGTCCAACTACTGGAACTCCAACTGTGTCTTCGAACGGAACTGCAACTCCAACGCGTGTCAAAAATCATGAGCAACACACGTCCACGAAAAGCTCTGGGAATTCAACGACTCCGGCACCTCCCGGTTCGAAACAATCGACGACAATTAAAATGTCTACAGCACCTTCAACAGTCTCAACTACTCTGAAGTCTTCCACCAATGATACGGCTAATGCCCATCCGACAGGACATAACGTTTCATCAACTACAGCAGAACCCCGCACAACACATCAGACGAACACAACGAATCCAATTATAAAAAAATTTAATGGAACATCAAAGGATAATTCTACTGGGCAGGCAGCGAAAGCGGGATCATCAGCTTTGTCTCATAATGCATCCTCTACCACTCGAGTGATCGAAAACGGAAACATGACTTCATCTCATACGACCTCTACCACCCAAATTCCGAAAAACAAAGCAAATTTGAACGGAACTTCAACCACCAATTCTACCACGCAGTCAAGAAATGATGGTCTATCACACAACGCATCCTCTACCACTCAAATTCCAAAGAGCAAAACAATATTGAATGGAACTTCAAGTACTAATTCTACTAAGAACGTAAAAGATGGATTGTCAACGGCATCTCATGGCCCATCATCTACTACTCAAATTCCAAAAAGCCTTACAACTTTGTCATATAATGCAACCTCTATCACAGAAATGCCAAAAAATGTGACAAATTTGAACGGAACATCAACTGCAAATTCTACCAGTCACACAATGAAAGATGGATTGTCAACTTTATTACATAATACAACCTCTACCACAGAAATGCCAAAAAATGTAACAAATTTGAACGGGACTTCAACTGTTAGTTCAAGCAGCCACAGAACGAAAGATGGATTGTCAATTTTGTCACATAATGCAACCTCTACCACCAAAAGTCCAAAAAAAGTAACAAATTTGAACGGAAGTGCAACTGCTAATTCTACCAGTCCCTCAACGAAACATGGATTATCAACTTTATCACATAATGCATCCTCTACGACCCACATCCCAAAAAAAGGAACCACTTCTCTGTCTCATGGAACCTCTACTGCGATGCCTCCAACGACCCATGTTTTACCGACTGATCATTCAAACTCCTCTGCATCTCACCTTGCATCGACTACTAAGAGTCCTGATACAGCACATCCTACAAAAAATTCCGCTGCGAAGCACTTACTACCGATACTGCATAACTCAACTACTGCATCTCCAAAGAATAGCAGTATAACTGCGATTCCACTAAATGTAACGACTGCAAGTCCGCTGAGCGCAACCACCTCAGCTTCTAGTCTCAATGTTACAACAAAAGCGAATAATTCGATAACGACTTCAGGTGAGTCCATACAAATAGTAAAATCCTCATCTGATAAAACAACCAAAACAGAAGAATACTTGCAATCTGGAAAAGCGCTGGTTCCTCAAGTTCAAATTACAGAAGTAAAGAAATCTTTTGTGTTATCCTGGGTAGATCCTCAACCTTCGTTGGTGATGGCACGAGATACGATGAAGGGTCATACAATAAAGAAAGATCTGAGTACTGTCAGTGGATCTTCAGGGAAACTGAATAGTACGAGTAATGGACAGAATGACACGGCAGTAGCTAATTCCACAGTTAATCATAACGTGACGGGAACTGCTCATGCCAATGGGACAGCATCGGCGAATTCGACAGCGTCAATCCCTCTTCATAATTCTACATTGCCTGCCAACTCTACGGCTACAACTCCTCTCCATAACTCTACATTGCCTGTCAACTCTACGGCTACAACTCCTCTCCATAACTCTACATTGCCTGCCAATTCTACGGCTACAACTCCTCTTCATAATTCTACAAGGCCTGTGAACTCTACAACAGCAACAACTCCTCTTCATAATTCTACATTACATGCCAACTCTACGGCTACAACTCCTCTTCATAACTCTACATTGCCTGCCAACTCTACGGCTACAACTCCTCTTCATAACTCTACATTGTCTGCCAACTATACGGCTACACCTTCTCTTCATAACTCTACATTGCCTGCCAACTCTACAGCTACAACTCCTCCTCATAACTCTACATTATCTTCTAATTCTACGGCTACAACTCCTCTTCACAACTCTACATTGCATGCCAACTCTACGGCTCCAATTCCTCTTCACAACTCTACATTGTCTGTCAACTCTACAGCTACAACTCCCCTCCATAATTCCACATTGCATGTAAACTCTACAACAGCAACAACTCCTCTTCACAACTCTACATTGCATGCCAACTCCACTGCCACAACTCCTAGACATAACTCTACGTTGAGTCATCAAACTACGCCATCTTCTAAAAAATCACCAAAGGCGTCACAAGTCGTGACGAAGATCACGTCGGACACTGCTTTCAATTTCATGGTTACACACAATGACACAGGCGTGCCATGTCTATTGTCAAACATGTCGATTGACCTGAGCGCGTTGTACAAGAAGACCGATAAAACGGTGAGTTCTATTTTCTAGACGAATTCTGGTTACAAAAAAATGAAAATTTCATTTTTTAGGCCGAGATTTAAAAAAAAATACTAAAAATTCCCAATGATGCACATCTTAACGCATTAATTTACTTTGGAGTAAATTTTTGACTGCAATGCTATCTAATAACCAACTTCCTTCCTCATCATAGTCAGATAATCATCTGCACTCCAAGTGATCACAAATTTGTTTATTCAGATTTCGAAGGGCACCTTGCACATACCCAACACAGCTGAATCGAACGGAACATGTGCTGAGAAGAATGCCCAACTGATGCTCATTTGGAAAGAAAAAGGAAAGTCGAAAGCGAAGCGGGCAGGCGCTTCTCGCAATACCACTCTCGATGATGGAGAACATAATATCTTGGTATTCAATTTCATCAATGATGGGAAGACCGCCAAACTTGACAAGGTTCAGGCAGAAATCTACCTCGACAACTACAATTTTCCAAACTCGATAGGTCAGAAACTCACACCTTTATGATAATGAGTATCACGCAATGAAATGAATGCATCATTTTTTTTTTATCGATAGACAAAACTCTGAGAGGAGAGTCAACTTCTGGTCTGGGACTATTCGAAGCTAAAGTCGATGCTGGCGCTTACGTGTGCAATGTTCCCACTGCTGTGAGAGCTGGCGACATCGGTATCACTATCAAAAGTATTTCATTGATAGCGTTCAACTCCAAAGAGGATCTTTCTTCCAAAAAAAGTAAGAGTTGAAGACTTCAGACGTAGGGAAATTCCCAATGACAATACGTAAGGAGAAATTCGATAGGAAAATTCAGGGTTTATGTCTCGGAGATTTTTTTTCGATTCTGCTCTAAGATAAGGTCTGGAACATTGACATAGAGAATGTGTTGATAGAAGCTGTTATCAAAGTCACACTTGTAAAGGCCCATGCTTTTCTCTGAAAGATTTTGTCTTCTGAAGAATATTTTTTGCTCACCAAGAAGATCTTTCACATAAACTATCGAAAATTCTTTCAAGAATCTCTGAAAGATATTCGAAAGACAGAAATTTTGTTCACAACATCACATGACTACACGAATAATCCTTAGAATTTTAATAGAATCCCCATAGAATTTCTAGAGAAACCCAATAGAATCCTGCGCCCCTGCTATTTTGAGAAATAATTAACTGAATTCCGATCATTATCAGCAATAATTTTTTCTGTTCCACGTTGAGTTGAGAGCTGCCAATCAGAAGCAGGAGTGAATCTCGGCGCAGTCATTGGAGGATTCATAGGAGTGGCACTGATAATTTGCTTTGGGATGTACCTCATCGCACGGCGAAAAAAAAACTCCTTCCGGTCGTCGCAGATCCCGTGAACGTCCCAAATACCAATAGTTCAATCCCAGTCACGGAACTGTGAGCTCATACTCGATACCCAAGTGAAACTAAGTTAATTACGTAGTTATTTTGTACATAACCGAAATGTTGGCCGGTGATTTTCAACTGCTCCATCAGTTGCGTGCATTTCCAATGTGATTTTAATATTCAAATTATCGACACTTAACACTAACTGATATAGAAAAAATTGGCAATAAAGTATTGTAACGGAATTGATTGACCAAATTCATCTATTCTCTGCCACTTCCCAAAAATAAAAGGACTCAGATGATTTCTTTTGGTTCTTATATTGACGTTATTTCATTCTTCAACTAGAAATGAGACATTAAGGATCATTAGTACCAATCAAATGTGCGGCAAGACGTCATCTGGCGTTAATTTTTCCAGTGCAAGAATTTCGGTCACACTTCCAACTGTCACATTACAAGCAACTATTCAGATGTAATCAGACAGTCGGAAATTTTTTGGGCACCACGTCCTACCGCATTTGGTGATAACTCAGTTTTCCACTCCTCATTTCCATTTGTACACTTTTATTGTTTTCCGGTGATTCTCAACTTGACGCTTGAGGTTCCGTTGCGCATGTGGTGCAACAATTTATGTGAAATATGACAGTCACATGGTACATTGCCCACAATGTTGTCTTGTGACAACTGGTCGTCTTGTTTAGACCGGTCAGTGACCTTTTCGGTCATTTGCATCGCCAGTACTAATTAAATACCCGATAGAGAACTTGCATGAAGCTCAATTCTTTCAATTCCCCTGGTCATGCATTCCTCGGAACATATGGATAACTAAACAGCGAAAATTATGGAGAAATATTGCCTAGATGTCTTATGATAATTAATAGAAAATCAGTCGGTTCGAGGCAAATTTTGCGGTTATGACCCCAAAATTTACCACTCAAGATGCACATAGTTGTTGCACCTGAAACACGTACATTGAACGCATTATTTGATCTAGTCACATATGGCGCTGGGAACCAAACAACACCAGCGATTTGGTGTAACGAACAGTTCAGGATATCACCGGTTGGACTCGTCACGGATACGCCCACCCCAATTACCCCTTTAGAAGGTAAATTTAAATGTTTATCGCGTCATCTGTCCGATCATCGTGCGAACTATATCAGCCCCTTGTAAATTTGGACCACCGTATTAATATCGGCCTCCCACAATGGGGCTAGTATCTGTTATGGAAAACTAGGCAGTGCCTAGATGGTACCCAAACATCTGTCTAGCTTCTCACAAATACTATTCATTCATTCATAATTTACTATTATAATTTATTTATTTATTTATTCACAGGTATATTGATATCACTCGAGAATTGTGAAAAATGTGGAACAAAATATTTGTCAAGAGGAAAATATTCTATAAAAAAAATAATCGATTTGATTTTTTGCTGTGAAAAATAAAAGAAAAAAAGAATGAGAAAAAATGAGAAAATTCTATTCTTTCATCCACTTTTTTAAAAAATATGATCTGATGCACATTTCTCAATTGAATGTGGGAAAATCCCAAACACGAGATACAACCTTTCACATTCCTCTCACGAACTGAATTCCCGTGTCTGATATGTCACTCGCAGCGGATATCGTGGTTTTACGATCCGTCAATCGTCATATTACCAAAAATACCAAAATAGATAGCACGGTTCCAGCGCCATATGTTCACGTGAGTTTTCCCCATCTCCGAAAGTATTTTATCACCAGAAGCAGAAATGCACTAGCTCGATAAAGACCGAAATATTCCGAGTTTTAATAGCAGCAATCGCTGGGTTTATTGAGATGCTGGTTTCAGATAGATGCGTTATCAGTTGGAAACACGAGTTAACGATGGGGTGACTGCCACACCCCTCGTTTAGCACCTGGCAGATGTTACTGATTCTTCGTTAATTAACAATGAGGGGGTGTTGTGCATCCAATCCCGGTACGCCACCGTGGGTGTTTTGGATTACTGTATCGATTGCTGTTTCCTGTCGAATAGTCTTCCTGGGGGGGGGGGTTAACTGTGGGAATCGCGCGGACAGCGCGATGTTTTCACATTGCAGCGTTCGAGTTTCTCACAATAATTAACGAACCCCCGACAATTTCATGCTTCATCGGGTTGCGCCATTGAAACTTTTATGGTGTTTTACGAAATGCCTGGAAATGAAATGTTTTTGAAGAAGAATTCAATTTTTTGACAATGACACCCTCGGAGACGCCAGAAATGTTGAAGTGAAAAATTTTGTTGTCACCTGGGGCCAAAGTGTCAGACCTTGGATTTTTCGCGGGGGAAAGTCGACTTACGCCAAAATCGAATTTTTTCGTCAAGTGAATGTTGATTCCGTATTTATTGGCCCCTCTAATGCCAATGAAACCCTCGGCGGCGCAAAAAATAACGAAATAAATTTTTTTTTTTTCACCCGGGGCCAAAATTGTCAGATCTTGGATTTTTTCAGGGGAAAAGTCAACTTTCGCCAAAATCGACTTTTTTCGCCGGGTGAAAGTAGATTCCGGTTATTTAAGGGACGGGCTATCCAGAACTATCAACAGTATGGGGGAAAAGTCAAAAATGAAAAAAAAAAATTTTCACCCGGGGCCAAAAGTGTCAGATCTTGGATTTTTTCAGGGGGAAAGTCAACTTTCGCCAAAATCGACTTTTTTCGCCGGGTGAAAGTAGATTCCGGTTATTTAAGGGACGGGCTATCCAGAACTATCAACAGTATGGGGGAAAAGTCAAAAATGAAAAAAAAAAATTTTCACCCGGGGCCAAAAGTGTCAGATCTTGGATTTTTTCAGGGGGAAAGTCAACTTTCGCCAAAATCGACTTTTTTCGCCGGGTGAAAGTAGATTCCGGTTATTTAAGGGACGGGCTATCCAGAACTATCAACAGTATGGGGGAAAAGTCAAAAATGAAAAAAAAAAATTTTCACCCGGGGCCAAAAGTGTCAGATCTTGGATTTTTTCAGGGGGAAAGTCAACTTTCGCCAAAATCGACTTTTTTCGCCGGGTGAAAGTAGATTCCGGTTATTTAAGGGACGGGCTATCCAGAACTATCAACAGTATGGGGGAAAAGTCAAAAATGAAAAAAAAAAATTTTCACCCGGGGCCAAAAGTGTCAGATCTTGGATTTTTTCAGGGGGAAAGTCAACTTTCGCCAAAATCGACTTTTTTCGCCGGGTGAAAGTAGATTCCGGTTATTTAAGGGACGGGCTATCCAGAACTATCAACAGTATGGGGGAAAAGTCAAAAATGAAAAAAAAAATTTTTCACCCGGGGCCAAAAGTGTCAGATCTTGGATTTTTTCAGGGGAAAAGTCAACTTTCGCCAAAATCGACTTTTTTCGCCGGGTGAAAGTAGATTCCGGTTTTTTAAGGGACGGGCTATTCAGAACTATCAACAGTATGGGGCAAAAGTCAAAAATGAAAAAAAAAAATTTTCACCTGGGGCCAAAAGTGTCAGATTTTGGATTTTTCCCGGCGGAAAGTCGACTTTCGCCAAACTCGAATTTTTTCGTCAAGTGAATGTTGATTCCGTATTTATTGGTCCCTCTAATGCCAATGAATCCCTCGGCGGCGCAAAAAATGTCGAAATAAAAAAATTTTTTTTTGGATCTTGGATTTTTTCCGGAGCAAAGTCGACTCTCAATTTGTTGACCATAATAAACTTTCAACGGGACTGCACGCCATTGCAAAGTGCACCTTTGTCATGACTGGCGACATTTTCTTCTCATGCCACCAGCGGCGCTGATGGCGCCTGTTAATCGCCCTTGACGCTACTCATCGCATCGCGTAATTGGTTAATGCAAAAGGTCATAGTACGCAACTTACTGCACGCAAAACAAAGCAGCAAGTCAAACTCTTGTCGCAGTCGTGACATAAAATATTTTGACTATAATGTGACGAAAGCAATTTTGCACTTGTTTTGCTTGTTTTGTTTCGCACTTCTTCACTGCACACATTACGCAACATTCCGATTTTCCCAAAAGCCGTTATTTAACATGAAACATAACCGGAAGTGACGAAATAGAATACGCCCATCTGTTACGGTACTTTATTGTGAAATGTGGGGCAATAAAAACCTGGGAAAAATGTAATTTGCTGTGGGATATATGAGCCTCGTATTTTCCTTTAATTAATACGCGACGTCATTAATGGAAGTACGGAACAGGTGGGCAATGAATGCGGATTAGAATCTATGGGCTGGTGACATTTGTTGTACTTTCGAAGGAACAACAAAGACAGTGAACTGTTAAGAGGCGATTTCACACTCGCGATTAGACACTCCTGAGATAAAACGGTTTCCTCAAGGAGGAGAGAGAGAGGATGCTTGGCAGGTGCCGAAACTGTGTAAATGTACGCTAAATACACATGATGGCAGGTGTGCTTCTGTACCACGCCGTGGAGAGGATCTCTCCGTTCTTCATTCCGGAACAAATAAGTCCGCTTTGGTGCAGGCATGTTTCGGAACTTGATAATGACACAAGTATTCTTTTGAAAGAATGAATGAATGATTATGTGTATTATGAGGGAATTCATATTCTATTTTTTTTTCACTCGTAAATGACGATGGGACTTATCTTAGATATCTATCAGAAATTATGGGTGATATTGGGCACTGGCTAGGACGACCCGGATCATCAGTGATTTTCTAGAAATCTTCAGGAATTTCTCGATTAATCCAAAAGCTATCCTACTCCTCGCCCGATTATCGTTAAATCCTTTTTCTTGAAATAAGTAAAAAATTTCAAATTAAGATTTTCATCTGATTAAGGATGTTTAACTTGTCAAGTGGACAACTCAATTGAAAAGAAAAATGAAATTGTCTAAATGAATCATTCATGTTACAAATAATTTTCCTCATCAAATTAGAAGGGTTATGGCGTACTTTTCCGGTCTCAAAAATAATAATTAAAGAAAATATTCATAAATAATGGAGAACTTGGGACTGCGGTCCCCTACTTGTTCTCGCCGGCGATAGATTCTCCATTGT